GAGAAAATCTAATACATTTCCCTAATAATTACAAAAGTCACATTTTTAATTAGACAATTTGAATAACAAAGACTGACATCTTGTTTTGAAAAGCGTACTCCAAAAACTGGCTTATTTACAACTTTATTTACAACAGTAAGTATCTAACAGGATGTTGATTTGTAAAGTTGTGATTGTACAAACTGTGCAAATGAGCATTTAGTGATTTGATGTAAAGGCATATCAGTAAATAACAATATACACATCATTTTAAGTGCATCTGAGTTTTCTTTACACAGAATATCAACCGTCACCATCAAAATAACACCATGCTTTTGTTTTCAGCTCGTTACAAAATACTACTGGTAAAAATTGCACATTTATTCCCAACAGAGAAAACCAGAAACAATCAAGAATGCATGAGTATCTGCTGTCATGGCTTTGCAATTAGTAATTAATGGGAGTCAATGGAGCAATAACAGCCACCAACATCACCAAAGGGGAGTCAATCTGAACAGTACACATAAGGGTTAAATAACAATCAGGAACAGAATCACTAAGCATAACTGTATATTAACAATGCATTGTTTACTGTAAATTATACATTTATTATTTATAATCTCAGCGTAATCAATGCTTGAAATGTTCCTCTAATTCTGGAATGAATTATATGCATTGTGCTGCAAGTCTATGAATTGATTACAGCTTCAGAATCAGAATGAAGCGTAGAGGCCGAGTCTCCGGGCCGTCTCTGATTTCCTCAAGCTCTTCTTCTGAGGGAAGGGATAATATCTGGAGCGCTGATTATCTGAACTCAACAGCACCGGAGCTGAGAGCTTTCTAGTGGCCTTCGGATGAGGGTTCGAGTCCTCGGAGAGCCCGTCTGACTCTGATCCTCCAGCCGAACACTGCCGTCTATGCTCAGATGGTCCAGTCCAGTGTGCCGGACGCTTTTCATCCAGATCTGAAGAACACGATTCGTGAGGAACATCCAGAACACACACAGCCTGGCTCCGCAGGACAGAAGGAACCACATCCAGAAAACCTCTGCCGTTTATCTCCGCGTCACCGCAGTCTGCTGGAGACAGAAGTAAGACGCAGGTCAGCCTTATTGAGCTTACTCTTGGAATATTTTTGGCTTCAGACTTACACTCTCATTCACCTCCATTGATTTATTTATTTACTTATTTAACCAAGAATTAAGTCCCATTGAGAGACAGAATCAGGGAGTCCTGGTCAAGACAGGCAGCATAGGACAGAGTTATAGAAAATACATATCAAAACACAGACTCACACAACATAATATAAACCATAATCAGTTATTAAAACATGTACTCTGTCGCTAGTTGTTAGTGAGGCCAGCAGGGGGCGCTTAACCTGTGGTCCGTGTGAGTCCTAATGCCCCAGTATAGTGAAGGGGACTCTATACTGTCAGTGAGCGCCGTCTTTCAGCTGATAGGTTAAACCGAGCTCCTGACTCTCTGTGGTTATTATTAATCTCATGGCTATTCTGGTATAGAGTAGGGGTGTAACCCTGATATCCTGGCCAAACTCCCTCCATCAGCCCTTACTCATCATGCCCTCCCCATCCACTGAGTTGGCTCCATCACTGTCTCTCCACTCCACCTATAGCTGGTGTGTGGTGAAGCTGCTGTTCATTCCATTATTATCAATACACGAAACACATCACGACTGTTGATTTGAATGATCTCTGCACACTCTAAATAACAACAAACATTAAACAGCTCAACTGTGAACAAACATTATATTAATGTAACCAAAGCAGTGTTTGTACACAACCGTTCCAGAACTCTGAGAGAGCATTTCCTGTTTTCTGTTTTTCTACACTAGTGTAATGATAAAGGCATACCGTTCCTGAAGCAGACGACGTGTGTGTGTCGTCGGTGTGTGTCTCTGCTGGAGCTGTACTGTTCTCTCAGGAGCTCCACGTCCATCCTGAAGCTGTTCTGGTCCTCAGAGTGAAGCGTGCGCACATCTGAACATGCCAGGAATGAGCAACAGCACAGCCACATCCTCAACACACCGCTGTTTTATTGCGGGATCGCCATAAAAGTGCAGGATTCCCAGATCATCATCTGGTGAGTGCAGGTGTGTGTGTGTGTACGTGTGTCTGTGTGTGTGCTTTCTGGGCTTTGCCTTCAATAGTTGCATCAAAGTGCAAACAAAAGAGGGCAATTGAAGGTTGTTTTGCAAGACAAAGACAAGGAATATTCACGTGCAAAATGTTTGTGTAGTCACTTACTCGTGTGCTGTGCAGGAAATAAGCGTGCAAATATCAAATGCATTAAAGAGAAAAGTGTTAAAATAGTGCGCTTTATATGTCATAACAGCATTAATTATCTATATAATCATGTTTGCACAGTATTGTTGATGCAGTGGGTGAGGTGAACACTCATAAACGCCGTCATTTTGCATGTTATTGTAAAGTGTTATTGTTATTATTATTACTATTATTATTATTATTGTAATTATAATTATAATTATTAATATTATTGTTATTATTATTGTTATTATTGTCATTATTATTATTATTGTTGTTGTTGTTGTAGTAATTATTATTATTATTGTTGTAATTATTATTATTATTATTATTATTATTATTATTATTATTATTGTTATTATTATTGTTATTATATTATTATTATTATTATTATTATTATTGTTGTTGTTATTATTATTATTGTTATTATATTATTATTATTATTATTATTATTGTTACCATTATTATTATTATTATTATTATTATTATTATTATTATTATTATTATTATTATTATTATTATTATTATTATTGTTATTATTATTATGATTATTATGGTCATTATTATTTGTATTATGATTATTATGGTCATTATTATTGTTATTATTATTATTATTATTATTATTATTATTATTATGATTCATATTATTATTATTATTATTATTATTATTATTATTATTATTATTATTATTATTATTATTACATTGGTGTTTACCAAAGACCATATTAATGGTTATAGTTGTATGTAAACAGAATTTAATAAACTACAGACTGTCTTAGTTCTACTTTCCCAATATCCCCTCAAAGTTTAAATGAGTTAAAAACAAGCATATCATTGCAGTATCATTTTACTGAGATATGAATATCATTGCATAGAAGATCTTGAGTGGTATGAGAAATGTAAACTAAATTAATGTTAGACATTAATAAATGTTTAAGATGTTAATAAAGTTTCTCATATGAAGACATAGGGCGTCACAGGGGCGCAGTGAGTAGCACAATCGCCGCACAGCAAGAAGGTTAATGGCTTGAGTCCGCCCTGGGTCAGTTGGTGTTTCTGTGTGGAGTTTGCATGTTCTCCCTGTGTTGGCGTGGGTTTCCTCCGGGTGCTCCAGTTTCCCCCACAGTCCAAACACATGCGCTATAGGGGAACTGAAGAACTAAATTGGCCGTAGTGTATGAGTTTTATTATAGTTTGTTTTAAACTTATTTGATGCTTTGGTCACTGGTCAAATATTGTATTAAAATATTTATTCTGTGACAAGTCAATACTGTCAGTTAGTCTAAAATATTATATGAAAAATATATAATATTTAGTTTTTTACTCATTAACTTAATTAAATTGTATTAAATAGAAAAAAATAAACAAATGTTGATTTGACCTAGTTTTAATTTATTAATAGTTTTTTTTTATTCTTATTATTAATAATATTATTATTATTAAAAATGATAATGACTAAAAATCAAATAAACAAATAATAAAATGAATTAAAAAATGGCACAGTGGGTAGCACATTCGCTTCACAGGAAGAAGATCTCTGGTTTGAGTCTCGGCTGGGACAGTTGCGGTTCCTGTGTGGAGTTTGCATGTTCTCCCCGTGTTGGTGTGGGTTTCCTCCAAGTGCTCCGGTTTCCCCCACAGTCCAAACACATGCGCTATAGGGGAATTGATTAACTAAATTGACTGTAGTGTATGAGTGTGTGTGTGTGTGTGTGTTTTCCAGTGATGAGTTGCAGCTGGAAGGGCATCAGCAGCGTAGAACATTTGCTGGATAAGTTGGCGCGGTGGCGTCCTCTGCTAAATAAAGGGACTAAGTTGAAAAGAAAATGAATGAATGAATGAATATTCTTTAACTATATGCATTTTATTTATTATTATTTTGGCTAACATAATAAATAAATGATGGTTTTCATTTTTATTATTTGTTTTTACTATTTTTTGTATTCATTTAACTTTTTTTATTTTACAATTTGTTTTTCTTCAAATACTTTTTGTTTGGTGAAATATTAAAATATTAAATCTGTAAAAAGTCAACATTTTCAATTAGTCTANAATATTATAGGAAAAAATATAATATTTAGTTTTTTTATATATATATATATATATATATATATATATATATATATATATATATATATATATATATATATATATATATATATATATATATATATATATATATATATATATATCAAATAAATAAATTATATAATAGAAAATAAATGTATAATTATTTTAATCCATTTTTAAATTGCATGCTTAAATTATTTTTAAAATGTGTTTTATTTATATATCTTTAAAAAAAATGTTATTTATGCTATTTTAGACTGCTTTTTATTCTAATTGCACTTTACATTCAGATTATTGGTTTAAATAATGTTTATCTTTTCTTTGTCCAGCTCACTTCTGCATTATAATATAAAATATGCTGCAAACATAATGTCGATTAGTATGTGCACATAACTGAGCTGTTTATCCTAAAGAGCAGGACAATAATTAAACTGCACAACATGGACCACAAGTTAAAGTCCAAAGCAGATTTTTAGGGAGCACACAGTCCCTGTTCACTAAACTCATTAATATTAATGACGCTACTTGACGTTCGCTGACGCTTTGTCCTATGAATTTCCCGTATAGATAGAGCTCATGAATATTAACAATACCACATGACCGTCGCTTCAGGAAGCAGAGGTGAGCATCTCATGAATATTAATGAGGTGTTCTGTGAATGGCGGGATGTTTGTGTCTGAATGGCTGAAGCAGCGGAATCTTGTTTTCTGGGCTTTGATTTCAGCACACAGCAGGTATTTTTTTTACATTTATACACGATTATAACCTTTTAAACACACGTATGAACGTTCATACTGCATGAAAGACGAACTAGAGAAGAGATTGAGCGATGTTTATGATCGAGTCACTCACAAACAGCAGTAATAATGTCAATAAATGATATAATGAGGTATTTACCATTACAGTCCCTCAACAAACACCATGGTAATACTGTGGTACATATCCTAAAACATCAAAAGACACCGTTTATACTTGTGTTGCTGTAAATGTAATGGTGTTACAGGTCACTTAAGAAGTTAAAATGCATAATATTTGCCGCTGTGTGGAAACAGGACATTAATATTAAGATTAATGGTGGATCAATATTTGCTTATAGGTCAGCTTTGTTCTCCTGTAATCTTGAATAATCGGTTCAATATTTGTGTTGATTTAAGTGTTAAAATATGAACTGAAAGTAAAATTATTAACTGAATTTGTGTGGTAAATATGATCATAAAGCTGGGATTAGTTTACAAGAATGATCCAAATGTATAGAGGAATCTGTTCATTAAAATCATAAAACTAAAAGTGTCATTGTTTTTAATAGTAATAATGAAGAAATGTTTTAAAAGACAAAACACTACTTTTATTTTATTTATCTACCTAGGAAATATTATTATTATTATTATTATTAATATTATTATTATTATTATTATTATTATTATTATTATTATTATTATTAATAATAATAATAATAATAATAATAATAATAATAATAATTTTCTTTGTTAATGTTGATGTAAAATAACTAAAATATTAATTAAAACTGTATAGACATGAAAGCAATTTTTTAAAAAGAATGCATTTAATAAATATGGTTATATAGCTGGCTTTATTTCACAAAAAATACTCAAATGTATACCTGAACAAATTAATAAATATGTAATAGTAATAATGAAGAAAATTG